AATATCATTAAAAGTACCAATAATCAAATTGAAATTAAAACCATTAAATTTTCAAGCATCCTTATCAAAATTCAAAATTCAAAATAAATTTTCAAAATTAATCATTAAATTAAAATAAGAAGATAGAATTTTTAAAAAACATTGAAATCATTTCAAAATAAAATTTAAAGTAAAATAATAAAATTTGAAAATTAATAATAAATCTGATAAAACAATGAAATTTTGCAAAAATAATCGAAGAAGCAATTTCAATAATAAAATTTAATAAAAATAAAAATAAATAATATATAATATTTTCTAACTCATTCTCATCTTTTTTTTATTTTAATAGCTTACTAAATTCACTCATAATTCAGATATAATTTTCAAAATTCATTTCATTCACTAAATCATTCACAAATAATTGAAAATCATTACACAAATAATTTAAAATCATTACACAATAATTTCAATTTTTAAATCACCATAGTTTTCAAAATAAAATTAATAAAACTAAAATTTTCACCCCACACACCCATCTATTCCTTAAACCATGCCAAACCAAAGCCCCCCCCCTTTGTCACCCAAGCCTTCCCATTTTCACCACACACACCCAATTTTCAAAATTCATTTCATCATTTCATTTACTAAATCTTTCCTTCTCCTTAGAGCCTAAGATCTAGCCATATGACTTTCATGTTGATTATCCTAGAAGCCTAGTGATGGGACCCACCCTTCTACGATTTCAAACAATTTCTTGACTCTTTTTATGAAGTATCATATGGGTGGCCTTAGATCCTTATTATTAGGGTTGAGTTAATTGAGACCAAAATCTAAAGACTAAAAAGATGAGTTCCCATAGAATCATGAGGCCTTAGGGACACCCTTTTTGACCTTGAGTGGCTTGCTCACACATTCACATCACCACACGTCACTCCCCATCAACAAATTTGCTCTAAACTCCCCAAATTTCCAAATTCACATCAAATTCCACACAATTTTCAAAATCAAATCCAAGTTCACCAAGTTCCAATTTTAAATCCTTTTTTTTACAAAATTTACATTCCAAATTTCCCTCATGACAATCCCTGAAAATGCACCAAACCATCAATTGTCTTGCGCCATGTGAATATAAGTTGAACTAAAGTGGGAAAGAGGTTTAGGTTAGGTTTGGGCTTGATTTGGGCTAGACTCAACCCTATAACACCACCTTCACATCACCATTAACATCACTTACTGCGGAACAATGGTAATCACACAATACTCTTGTAATAACACCTTAATTAACACCATCTACTGCGGAACTACAATACACCTCCATAACCCTTATAATAACACTACCAATAATACGACATCCGTTGTTTTCCTCCAATTCTATCCAGATGACACCCAAAATGCACCTAAATGAATTACTTAAAATAATTCTCCTCATTTTAATTATTTTATAAACAAACAACACAATAAAGTTGACTTCTCACCCTTCACCCTCTGCCCTAAATCCCTCCTTCCCAAAGCCTGTGTCTGCTTCATTTCTTGGGAAAATAAGCTTCTTATTTCAGTGAGGATTCGTCTTTTGAGCTTGTGTTTTTCAAAGCATTTGATGGGCAAGGTGATTCCCTTATTCCTGAAATTTTTGCTCGTCAAAGTAAACTCGCTTCTCCTCTTGACCCATGAGCCCTAATTGGGTTTCGTCTGGTTTTCCCCCCTCTTTTGGTTATAAAACCCCCTTTTGAAGAAGAATTTTAGTTTATTAGGATATGGAAACACAAGGGAATTGATTGATATACATATTTTTTGGAATCTTTGCAACTTGTTGATTCTCTTGGGGCTGATTTCCTTGCTATTTGGAAGGCTTAAATATGTCTTTTGGGACTGATTTTCTTGTTATTTGGAAGGTTTAAATATATCTTTTTGGGTCAGATTTGCTTGCTATTTGGAAGGTTTGAGCACTGTTGTTTTGGGCTTAATAAGTGCTATTTTTTTGGGCTTAAACTGTTATTTTGGAGCTTAATATGTGTTGTTTTAAATTGTTTAAAATGTTATTTTTGGGCTTAATATGTGTTGTTTTTGAGGTTATAAAGTGTCATTGTGGTCATGTTTCTTCCTTCTCTTTTTTTTTTCCTTGCTCGATGATTCAATTTTATGTGCTTAACTAAATACAACTTATATGAAAATATAAGTGGAAACATGCATAGCATAGTGATATATGGATCATCGAGTGGGTTGTAAGTTGGATGATTTTGGGGTTAAAAGAGCAATTACGCAAAACTCTTTTAGTGCTAAAAGTGGGATAATAAAATTGTATCTCCTAGCTCGAGGACCTTTGGGTAGGGTGCAAGGTCGGCTATACTATTCACCAGCTCTTGGTGAGAAGTTGCTCTTGTTTTCTTATGTTGACGGTAGCTCTAGCCCAATCAAATGATTAACTTATGGGTCACCTGATTTGCAAAATACATATACTTAACATAACAAAAAAAATTTCTTATGACACTACTACTTTTGACTGCTATATAAAAATTTAACTTTATATGCCTGATAAATTAAGAATTTTGGTTGTTATCCTATAAAAACCCACTTGTTAATCACTCTAATCGAGTCAGGATTTGCCCTCCTTTGATTCTTTTATTGGTGGCTTCCATTTGAGGTTGGACGGGACAAAGCACACAAATTGCTTATGGTTGCCTACGGATGCCCCTCGAGAAGTATGAGTGTGAGCCTACCCCGAACTTGAATTCTTTTGGTCCGCCCTGATCTTTCAAATATGTGCTACTTGATCTTTTATATGCACACATTTTCATATCTTTCATGTTGGTTTAATTCTTGTCACTATTTATATGCTTTACCTTTAATACTAACCTTTTGCAGCAATGTTAAAGACATCAGGGACGTACTACCACTCTCTTTTTTACCACACTTTCTCTTTTAATGCACTCTACTGCATATATCATATTTATGCATGCATTGTTACCAGTCTATTATTTGCTATAATTGTAGAGACCTCTAGGGTAGAGAACAGTATGACACCTATTTAGGAGAAACTCTGTAGCAAAGCCAGTAAATCAATAATAATGCATATCTAAACACATTTCTTCAAACCCAATGTCATCACCACGAGGAGCTTGGAGCAAGCTTTCTGAGAAATGGGATGAGGATGCAAGCAGACAATGGACAACTTCAAGTGATGACCAAGACTGAAACATGAAGCGACGGACAACCTTCAACTAAACTTTATGTAGTTCTAAACAAAACAAACCCATAGAACTTTAAGGTAGTTTGTAAGACACAACGTGAATCAACATGTTATCTGCGATCATATATTGTGTGATATAAGCTCTATACTTTATAGGTTTTTGCCCGATCAAATATTGTGCGATATAAGCTCTATACTTTTTAGGATTCTAAGGTAGTCGTTCGGTATGACATAAACCCTCATATCTTCCTAGGTTATCTGCAGTATTGTATATTATGCGAATATAAGTCATAAACTCTAAATAAATTGCAGGATTTGGAACATTTAAATAGTGTCACTTCCAAAATATAAAAGCCAAATAATAGGATGATGTGGGAAGTCATTGAGGTCCGGCTCAGGATCAGTGACGTCCCCTACTCTTCACTCCTTTAGATTTCAAAAAAATAAGTGTTCCTATTTGAGTCATTCCTATTTGATTTAACTATAAACATTTGTGAAAACTAAACATTAATTTTTTGAAGATGAAACCCTTAATCTCAACTGAGAGTTTTCTTAAGTGACTATGATCATTTAGGAAGTAATTAACTATAAGGGTTTGCACTAAAAATATATGCACATTAAATTTAAATTATTTTTAAAATAACCGACAAATTAAAATTTGGCGATCGACCTGACATTCTTTATACCATTAGACTTGTTAATTATTCACTATATGGAGGCTCTAATTGCTACTCAATTGAAGGATATTAAGAGTATTCTTTGCTATTTCAAATGTATAATTGACTGACTTATTTTATTCATCATCAAATGATTTCAAGCTTGTCAGATAAAGTGATAACATTTGAGCCAGAGACTTCAATAAGAAGAAAAGCACCATAATGCACATGCTCTATATGGGAGACACTATTTTTACTCGGGTGTCAAAGATGCAACCAATCGCAACCCTTTTGATTTGTGAAGTTGAGTATGTTACTGCAACTTCATGTGTGTGTCATATAATTTAACATTGAAAATTATTTGAGGAGTTAAGACTACCACAAAAAGAGCAAATGAAGATTTATGTCGATGACAATTCATTTATTACTTTGGCTAAAAATCCTATTTTTCATGATCAAAGTAAACATATCGACATAAGCTATCATATCATTAGAGGCAGCTTCATAGGAAAATGCAACATATACAATGTCATGATAAAATAGATAATTTATTTGTCGAATCGCTTAAGTATGAAGATTTTGTGACCAGGACAAGAAGATTAATCGAGATGACAAAGAAAGTTAATAAGGAGCATTGAAAATTAAACTAGAATATTTTGTCCCATATGAAATTGCTATTTGTCGAATCGCTTAAGTATGAAGATTTTGTGATCAGGACAAGAACATTAATCGAGATGACAAAGAAAGTTAATAACTAGCATTGAAAATTAAACTTGAATATTTTGTCCCATATGAAATTGGGCTTTAATTGAGCCCATAATCTAGAATTTTCTTTAGAAAACTCTAAGAATTTTCTAAAAAAAAGTCTTAAAATGTTATAGAGAAATAATTTAAAAGAGTGATATAAAAAATTCTATAATATGTAATTAATGACTTTTGTAACAAAAGATAGAAGAATATTCTAAAGATTCAATAGTAGCTATAAGATTGAATTGTGTGGACACAATCCTAATGAGGGTGATCATTAGTATAAAAAGATGCGATGAGCTTGAAATTGAATCATCAAGAAGAAAATATAGTGAAATGAAAGTGACACTTTTAAGTTGTGTTCATCTTCTTTCTTAGCATTCCTCCTATCAAGATAGCCTTTGATTTCCAACAAACATTTCCATGAATGTGAAAAGCTACATTCCCTTTACGTGTTCTGATACAATAAAATTCATGCAACACAAAATGATCATTACAAAAATAAATATGCATGTAACCACAACATCCACTTAGCTCCCTTTAATAAAATCTTATGGGGAAACCAATCTAAACTTGTGATATTATAAACTATTCTCTCCTTAACAATTACATTACATCAAACATAATTTCACTACTTATTGAGGCAAATAAACATTCAATACCACAATAACTCATAGATATGCAATCAATGAAGATGGTATTGGTCATTGAGGCGACCATGGTGGTGGTGAAAATCTTTCATGATATCATTAGAGACTATTTCCATCCATTCTCCTCCTGCTTCTCTCGTCACTTCCAGTAATGAATCTCTCAGTTGCTCTGCTTGAACTCCTTCACTATTTCTTTTCTATACCAAAAATTAAAGTAATTAATTGTTTATTTTAAATATAAATTTATGCAGTAGTTATTCTAAGGTAAGAAATTACCTCCACTCTGAAAACATTAAGTACAAGAGCCTTGAAGGTGGTAACATTAGCATTGGTGACCTCTAGCCCCAAGGAGCTCATTGCCTCCATTAACCTCACAAATCCACCAGGCCTTTGTTCACAAAACACCTTCAAAAAGAACTCATTGCCTTCCACTGGTCGCACCTCAACAAGAGGCTACAATGCATGGTAAGTTATATATTTCGCTGAGAGTTGGACAAAAATTAACTTAAAATTATATTTAAATGTATTCTCTAAAATTCAAACTAAAATAAACATATTTAACTACATATTTCATTTCATAATCAAACCTTATATCATTAAGGATTTTAATAATAACTTTTAGGGGCATTTACATACATTTCACACAGTTGTGCACAACTTTTACTTATCTAACAACTAAAAATTCATATTTACATGTGAACTATTCAAATCTTTAATATTATATCAAAAATATCATTATCACCGCCATTTAAAAATGAAATACACATTTTCAAGCACAAATTTATGACATCATGATGTGATAAATGTAAATATCAAACTTTTGATGTTGGACATGTAAAACATAAGAATATGCGGTATGTATCATGTACTTTTCCTAATTTTTAATAACATGTGGCTAATTATTTAACTTTAGTCATTATGTTTATTTCAATTCCGAGTATAACTATAACTGAATTAAATAAATCTAAACATGTACATAACTATATGCATATACAAATAGTACTTATAGTATAGGAAACGAAAGTAAAATAGAAGAGCTTCACCTCCATCTGCGGCCCTTTGTCATCGGTAGGGGTTTTAGTGGTCGTAGCCAACGTCGATGGCACCATCTTTGCGCTATTTAGAGAATCATCATTAGGGTTTGAGACCTCCAACTGACAGTTACTGTTGTTGTTGCTTCCCAACTGTTTTGCAACGTCATCGCCATCAGGAGTGGCTTCCTCCAGCTCTTTCTGCAGGTCTTTGATCTGCTTCTGCAACTCCATCACATACTCGATTGCATCCCCCAGGATTGAAGCTCGATCCATCTATTATAAATATTCAAGTAAATAATCTTCATTCATTTGTTGTTACGTACTTTTTGATGGAGCTTTTTTTAAAATATTTTTACTTGTCTTTTACCTTATCAGAATAATATATGTTTTTTTATATATTTATATATAGCAAAACAATATGCTTTCTTCATTACTATATATGGAAGTCTAATATCACAAGCATGACATCAAACAATCCTAAAAAACAATCAATTATTTAAAGAACTTACCTTTGTGATGTTCGGAACAAGTGCACGAAGAGCATAGAGCCGATCATTGAGCTTCTTCCTTCTTTTTCTCTCCGCAAGCAAATTCTTCGAATGATGCCGCTTTCCGCCTCGCCCGGCCCGTCCCTGTTCATCCTCATCCTCCCCCTGATCACTCCCATCCAGCCCCAAATCCTTCTCTACTTCCACCCCCTCCGAGTTCTCTGCACAACTTATCATCAGCGGTGCTTGCTCGTACGCTCCGATAAGGGATGAGTTGTAGTGGCGAAATTGGTCGCAGGTGATGTCCCATGGAAGGGTTTGGTGGTCGGCAGCGGGTGGTGGGTAGTGGCAGTCGTTGAGGGGTTCGAGCTCTTGGCAACTGGCGGCGGCGCGGGTTATGGATTCGTAGGGGGAAGGATGGCATTGAGAGACGACGAAGTTGATGCTTTGTTGGTCTTCGACCATCTGTTTGATTAATGGAGTTTTGTGGTTTTTGTTCCACGCATAGAAAAAGAGAGAGAAAAAGAGAGTGAGATTGAGATTTTTTTTTGAATATTATGAGCATCTTTATGTTTAGAATTGTTTTAGAATGAGTTTTTGCGTACCTAACATGCAAGCAGAGCTGCATGCGTAATAACCCCGCGATAACCTTCGCTTCGCAGTTATTAGAGGGTTATTGAGAGGTTATTGAGGTATTAATTCTAATAACCTTCCAATAACCTTCGCGGGCTCTATTTCGATGTTATTTACAAGTTGAAGTTATTACGAGATTAATAAAGTACGCATGCAGAGTTATTATCTGCGTGTTACGGACACAAATATTTCTCGCATGAAAGAAGGTGTTTTTGTGGAACTTATTGAAGTGGTTTCGAAGACGACGTCATCTTGAGCGATGAACGGCTATCAGAAAGAATTCTGAGCAAATAATTTTCGGAGATCGGATATTGAGATAAGTTTCTTATGATAAAAAAAACTTATGAATATAATTTGAAGAAAAAAAATTGAAAATAACTCATTTTTTTGGAGGAGAAAATTTGAGTGATAGATGTAATAGATATTATACTACTAAATTATTATGCCAGGAGTTCAGTGCAAGATCTCTCAGTCAAAATTTGTATTACATTTATCTAAAAATATACTCAACCTGAATAAAATTTGAATTGAATATATATTTATACTCATAATTTTGTTAATTTATATGGGAAAAATATATTCCATTGAGAGGAATTCGTTAAGCAGAGATTTCTTTTCATTCCGTTATAGGCTGGAAGCATGAGATAGATAAAAAAGAAAAGGAAGAGCACGAGGAAGACACGTAAAGATTGCTGTTGAAGGCTGGATGATTTAGACTTTATACATAACGTGGAATTTTGTTGTTTGTCACCCAGCAGGCATGAACCTTTGCATAAAAGCTAGGATTTATTATAAACAAAATCAATTACAAAAAAATAAGATTAATTTTTTTCTTAATTTGTCTTTTAGTTTTTATTATTGACTCTATTATAGTGATCCAGAATTATAACTGTTAGCGCACTGCGAAAATATGGCAGCTGGAAAATATCGCAGAGGAAATTGTGAAAGAATATACATGCCTAATTTTGTGCATGAACTTGAAAGCTCACTATTATCCCTTATAAAAAAGTACTTCAGGTTTTTACTCCTAGCACGTAGTTCTGTGTGCATACTCCATTAACTCCCATAATATCCTCATAATAACTTCAAATAGAACCCGCGAAGGTTATTGAAAGGTTATTAGGGTTATAAGTTATTAGAATTAATACTTCAATAATCTCCCAATAACCCCTAATAACTACGAAGCAAAAGTTTTTGCGGGAGTTATTACGTATGCAACTTTGCATGCGTATTGCGAACGCAAATATTTCCCCAACAGAAGACCTTACATGTTTCCAAGCGAAGAGCTCAACCAGGCCACCGGCCGGAATGGGAATCAATACCCTGGTCCTTGCAGCTTCCTTCTCCTGCAAATTAAGCAAATTTGATTTTATCATAAAGAGCATATTAATAAATCACTGCTACTTAGATTAGTAAAGTTCCAAAGTCTTATAAGTTTTGCATAAGATAAGATCATGATATTCTTTAGCTTACAAGTGAACCGAAGGAGTCGCTCACATTGGTTTGCCATGAGAACTGGTTTGATACCAATGTTTCTGCATAATTCCTGCTTCAAAATGAATTCCATGGCTTATAAAATATTTTAGAAAGAAGAATGGAGTGTAAATATGGAATTGGTTTAAACCTGAAAGATGGAAGATAGGCTAAGCAATCGTCCATGGGAATGGATGAAGGGAATTCTGAGAGCTCATCGCAAGCCCTTGTTCTTTGGTGTGGGGAAGTAGCAATATCTCTACATGGCTGATCTGTGGGATAATCTCCACTTTGGTAAGACTCTCCTCTCTCTCTCCCTCCACAGCAGCAGCCCATCCATTCCAACAACCTTAATCATTAAGGCAAGAAATCAGACTTATAATTATATTATCAAAATTAAGAAATCAATTATAAGCTAAATTTACCTATTATCTTGTGATAGCATCCACAAAATACAGTAATCCCAAGCATTAGCTCCCACAAGAGGCCTCAAACGTTCTACCATGGCTTTCATTTCTCCAGTTCCCTGCAGCACTATAATTAATCGCCTAAAATCCACCATTCCAAACCCCAAAGCTATATATGAAGAGAAATACATTCAAATATAACGGGAAGATTGTTATGCTTTGTCAGTAAGTGGACGAAAGAGACACAATAAATATCAAAAGGCAGCAAAATAACTCCTCTCTAGCAGAACAAAATCACTGTCTCTCTCTCTCTTTGTAGTAAAGTAGAGGTTCTCTTCTTTCTCACAGTACTCTGTTTCTTTCTGTTTGACTGTACTGGAGCAATAATAAAGGAGGAGAAAAATTTTACACAGAGAGAAAGAGAGAGAGAGAGAGAGAATCAGTTGATAGCTATGGATAACTGCAGCATCATTGAGGGGACGTACTAGTTGCAGAAGGCCACGTTACCTTTAAGAAGAAAAAGGGTGGAGCGAAGTGGAAGGGTAGGGATCAGAGAAGATTGGAATTGGCTGATGCTGGTTTGATTGAAAAGGGCAAAAAGCTTAGGAGCCTCTTCTTTTTCTAGCATACTTTGTTTGGGTAGGTGCAATGCACTAAAAGTGTGAGATTCTCTCTCTCTCTCTCTCTCTCTAAACTATCACAAGAGAAGACAAGTTTGCTAGTTGTCAATTGGTATTATGGGAAATTTTACAAAAATAAAAAATAAAAATAAAAAACGATCATTAATATTAATTTTTAATTTTAAAAATTAAAAATAAAGAGGATCCAAGTCAACTAAAAAAAAATTGTTCATTAAGATTTATTATACTAGAAGATGACTCTAACAGATGCTTGATAAAGAAAACATGCCTCTAATTTAATTTTAATGAGTAGATTAAAAAATTATTATTTTAGATTCAATATGAATGCATCCACAAGACAAGTGTGGATCATCATAAACAAATCAAATAAATATATTTTTACATGAAAATTTCTATACCCAGACAAAATCAATAAAGCACTAAAGTCAAATAGAATGAGTTGGATTAAAAGGGTGATAGAGACAAGCAAAACATATAGAACGAAGTATAAATAATATAAGTAAAATTTTATGATTTTTTAATTTTAGATTGTAAGAGACAAGAAAAATATTTTTTAAAGCTTGACCTTACTTTTGTTCCAAAATATAGATGCTTTAGTTTAAAATTATGTTTAAAATGTGTTTGGATAATGTTAACATGAAAATAATATTTTTTACTAAAAAAAAGAAATAAGTGACACATGTTTGATCTCATGGCTTATTAACATAATCATACATGTGTTGACTGCAATGTGATAAAAGGTGGTTTGCCATCTAGGTGATAGGTGAAAATGATGCAAAACACAAAATTCTAACATGATATGATCGCTCTAACTAGCTAGGTATGACCAATTATAAGTAATATGCTTAAATAATTTTCCATGATATGTATGCTCTATCAAGATGCGAGCAAGCAAATATAAGAACAAAACTAATGATTTGACAAGATAAAAGTTCCTTAAAGATGTGTGAGCAGTCATAATCAAGCACAAAAATGATGAGTTGGGTATGCGTTCTAGGCTAAGTGTAAGCACTTACACCAAGATACTTGTAAGGATACATGTCACTTGCTTACCTAACATGATCATATGAGGTAAATGATCGTGCACGAATAGTAAGCAAGAATCTATGCAACACACAGTTACGCTAGGTGAAGTGATCATGTATGCATAGATAGGATGTCATAGCTGGACACATGTAGTACATACACATTAAATGATATATGAGATGGGTTTTGCGGGCTATCCATCTCTATATTTTATGCAAGCATTAATCATGAGCATATGATAACATGTGAAAATGATAAGAAAGTCAATGTGTTGGTGAAAATGCATATGATGCTGCACTCATATGATATGCACAAAGGCAACATGATGTGCACATGCAAGTACACCATAATGTTGTGTAAACAATGCAAGTGCACCATGAAGTTGTGTAAAATAATAGAAGATACAAACACAAGGTTATAACACAAATACAACAAAAGGTGCAAATTTCACACATGCATAACCTCGACTCACAAGCACAATGCAAAATAAATTTTTCACACATACATGAGTTTAAACCATGAGCATTATACAAAATAAATAATTTCATGCATGCTTGACATTAATTCAAAAGCATGACATAAAACATATCATCAATATTACATTATAAACATAACATCAAAATAAAATTTTCTTACAAATCTTTTAAAATATTATATGTAATTTCAAACACTATGGATGTATATGAAAAACATATGCATGCTCACACATATAAACCAAGAAGTGCTTGATGGAAAACCAAGCCTTCCTAAATGCACTGGTGTATCCATTTAGGCATTATTTTCAACCTAAACACACGTCTGAGAGATTTTTTGGATATTTTGAGCTAAAAAACTACATATGAGTGGAATATAGTCCCATATTATTCAAATACACATCAATTATGTGTGACATCAAAATTGATTCCAATCAAGGGTAACCACTTCCAGACACGGTTACACCAACTCAAAACCTAGTTTCGTGACAGAAACATCCACTCAAGGGAGTTGTGGATCCCTTGGATCATGGGAGGCTACTTATAGATGGCATATAGTCCTAAAAATTTAAAATGGATATCAAACATGTGTGTCATCAAGAATTAATGCCAATAGATAACCACTTCCATGCATGACTACACCAGTTCAAACTATGGTTTTGTGACTAAAACATCTGCTGAAGAGTTTATGGATACCTTGAACCATGGGAGGTTATTTATAAATTAATTATTATTTATTAATATTAAAATAAATATTTAACATGTGTGAATTCAAGAATTAATGCAAACGAGTAACCACTTTTAGGCATGGCTACACCAACTTAAACCTTGTTTTAAGGATGTCCTAAGTTTTGGGAAGATATGTATCATTGTAATATAGTCTCATACCATGTAAGTAGATAACCAACATGTGTGACATTAAAATTTAATTCCAACAAAAATATCCTGGTGATATGCAAGTACTAGTTTCGAGATGGGTTTTTGATTCACATGGATAACATTCGTTATCTCATTCATATTTTTCTCCAATCTTTCTATTAGTTTATCTTGATACCTTAACTGATTTAAAATTTTTCTTGCTAGGGCTGGTGTAACACCTTCCTCAATGACAACATCTTGTAGGTTAACTTTATCTTGTCACTCTCTCAATTAAAGCTCTGGTCTCAACTATCACATTAGTGGTAGTTTCTTCTGAATATTTTATGGATTCATCCTCTTAATTGATTTGTTTAATGTTAGCATACAATTCAAATAGGACTTCATCAATAAGTTGACCTCTAACATTCTTTAGATTAATAAGAAAGTACTTCAGTTCTATATCAATATACATTTCTTCTACTTTAAGATCAACTTCTATCATGATAATCTCAAGTTTAGGTTCTACTACTTCTTGAGGTTGTGTCACCTTCCTTGAAATGGGTGAAGTAGGTTAAGAAGAGGTTTCTAACCTAAAATCAACTATATGAGGATATGGTACTTTAACTTTTAAACATAACTTTATCACCAACGAGGACATCTTCTTTCCTACCTTAAAACTTAGGATTTTTTGCAGAGCATGGGATGAATGGTGGAGCCTCATGTTATAGAAAAAAGTACTTTGTGAGTTTTTTGAAGAGTCTTAGGGATAGAAAAAGGTGCTTCAGTTGATAACTGGTGTACGTGATTGATATGTGTCAGTTTTACGTGATTATATTTATATTTTTTCCTGTATTTTATCTATTATTTTCATTAATTTATCACAGATTTTTGCTTGAAATGGTTTTTCTTGATGTCGTGCAAGTTTCAAGTGTTTAATACAAGCAATTTAGAACGAGAAAATTCAACAAAAAAGTGGTATAAAGTGGTGTGACCATGTCTGGAAGTGGCGTGACCATGCCACATATCATAAAGAAGCAGCGTGAACATGCCAGATTGAGCAAGATCACACCATAGCCTGCGGACCTCCGGTGTGACCATGCAGCCATTGAGTGTGACCATGACGCCCTGACCGACACACTAGCATGACCATGCCAGTTTTGGGTGTGACCTTGCTAATGAGGAGAAAACTCTTTTAGAAGGAATTTTGCTTGCTAAATTAATGATTTTGGCTTTAAAAAGGATTTCTAGAGCTTTATAGAGAGGTTTTTGAGTATAGAGGAGTTGGAGGCTGCCGGAGGTAGGATTTAGAGAGAATTTGTGCACTTTTTTGAAGGTCTTCTTACTCTCTTGGTTGAAACCTTCAATGGTAATTTTTTCTTTATTTTGTGAGTTGTGAGAGATTATTGTATGACAGTAAGGATTGCTGCTCTTGTGGAGATGACAAGTTATTATAAGTTTAACATATTTCTATTTCTTGCAAAAAAATCTTGCACTGTTTTCCTTGCTTTGATTTTTTTGAAGAGGCTTGGCTAATTTCTTCTTTGTGTCTCTGTGATGCAGGGTTAGTGGATTTAATAATGATTTTTTTTGAAATATTTTTCTGTTAGTATTTTTTTGTGCTTTCAAGACCTATGTTGTTGGTTAACCTATGAATGTCATTTGCTCCTAGTCTAGCCAACTAGGATGTTAAAATATTTCATGAAACTACGACATCAAACCATTCATAGTGTAATGAAGGGTTAACTATGGAATTCCAAGATAATAGACAGTCTAGTGGAATTATGTAATCATTCCAGGGGATCACAACATTTATGCAGAATGTCATAGAGATTGAGAAAGCCTCAACTTCATGGATTCTAGGCTTCTTTTGATCTATACATAGGTAGGAGTAATATATTCTTGATTGATAACAATCACGTAGGAAAATATTTAGGAAGTCACATCGCCATGATCCTCGGGTCATAGAGGCACGCACCTCATCATTTTTGAAAGAATTCACAAGATCTTTCCCGTTATTTTTTTTTGTATTGCCTACACTTCACTCTAATTTTCCTATAATCTTAGGACTTGAACCTTCTTTTCAATCATGTCAAGCTTGGTTCACTAAATCAGTAAGCTAGAGCTTTTTCTATAGAAATAATTGTTAATAATTTCCTAGTAAGATCGATAAGCGGACTCTTAGACCTCATACTACTTGACATGTGCACTTGCATTGTACAGTTAACTTAATTTGCGATAAGTTTCGGTGCGTTAACTTTTTTGTTCCATTGCCGGGGAAAAACGTTAATAACTATTTTTAATTTTAGGAGAACTTTAGTTGAAAGACTTATGATCTAAGTT